AAATACCAGGCCCCGGTCTAAGCAAGCTTTCTACAAAAAGTAGGCTACTTAACCCTTGCAGTGATATCACAGGTAGGGAGAACAGATAAAGGGAGGCACAGAAAGATTACATAATTTCTCAACATCACAGCTAGTAATAGCAGCAAATTTAGATTTTAATGCATGTAGTTTGACTATGCATTTAACTTCACTGTGTTGGCTCTGCTGAACAGATAACCAATTGTTTCAATATCACATATTGAACAATTCATCATTTCTTTTTATAACTGGAGTGTGAGCCTGGACTCCCTACTCTTTCACTGATCTCTCATAATTTACATATCAATTACTAGAGTTTTATTGTATGCTACACTATTCATCAGTATAAATCTCAATAGGTTTTTCTCCAAAAATTTCATCTTTGTATTCTTTTAGAATGCCAAGTCCCAAATTGAAACATATAAACAAATAAAAACATCTATAGGCATTTTGATTTGGATTTTGTTAAATTCAAATTGGAGAGAATATGATTTATAATTTGTCTCACTAAAAAAAAACAGAATACCCTTTCTTCATGGTATTGCAGCCTTCTCTAATTTCTTTTATTATCTAGCTATTGTTGTGGTTTGGATGTGAGGTGGCCCCAAAAAGCTCATGTGTGAGACAATGCAAGAAGAGAAATGATTATTATAACCTTAACCTAATTGGTGAATTAATCCTTGATGGGTAAAATGAACGGTAACTGGAGGCAGGTGGGGTGTGGATGGAGGAAATGTTCATTGGGGATGTGGCTCTGGGGTATATATTTTGTATCTGGAGAGTGGAGTTTTTTCTCTCTTGTTTCTTAATCATCACATGAGCTGCTTCCCTCTACAACACTCTTCCACCATGATGTTCAGTCTCACCTTGAGCCCCCAGGAGTGGAGCCTGCTGTCTATGAACTGAGACCTCTGAAACTGTGAACCCTCAAATAAACTTTTCCTCCTCTATAATTGTTCTCAGGTCCTTTTGGTCACAACAGCAAAAAAGCTGACTAAAACATCTATATTCATTTATTGTTTTTACTAAGAGTTTTCTTCAGGAAAGTCTAACACATTCATTCCTTGGTAATTTATGTCTTTAAGAATATGGTCATCTTTTATAATTATATAACAGGTTATTAATTAAAACTGTTGGCTTTGATGAATTTAGTTTATAACTGGCCTTCCTGCTGAACTTGTAGTAAAGGTATTGTTTTCTTGTAGCAATTACAATGTTCTAACAATAGTGATTATTAGAATAGTGATCATGTTCTAACAATAGTGATTATTAGAAGGAAACCCTCTTGCTGCTACTCTCTGGTGACCATCCATCATGCCCTCCTATTCTGAATAATGGGACAAACATGTATTTATAAATAGAAAGTAGGGATCACTGCAAAAACATACTATGCATGCCCATACACCAAGAAGCACTTATTTTTCTAATTGTTTTCAATTTGCTTCTCTTGAGTTTTCCAAGATAGTCACATGTGCAAATAATTTTGCCTCTTTAACAGGAAAACCCTCAGTAGGATATTTGGTGAAAATGGAGCTAGTATAGTTAATTCATAAAGTAGATTAAAGTGGGACTTCAAAAAAATTGGACATATGTCTCTTTAAATATTCTGAACTTAAAATACCTAAATGTACACTCACATGTCAATTTTTTAAAAGAAAGGTCAAAGTCTACAGATGCACTGATAAAAGAACCAAAGTTATCCTTCAGTTTTAGTCCCTTTAGAGAGCTTAAGACTTTAGTGAAGTAATTTGAATGCAGAATTCTTCCTGGATAACCTTCAGATCTTAAGTTGTCCTGCAGATATCTAATATGATAGCTGTTGTTGGTTTTGTACTTTTGGTGGGGTGTTTGGGTACACCAGACTTTATTGGTGGTACTTGACAAGGTAAGGTTCCCTTAGCCCCTACCTTTCTTCAGGAGGTATGGGATGGATACTGTCAAGAAGGGGGATTTTATCAAGGGACAAGTGTGGGGACAGGGACTTTGGAGCAACTGATGGATTTTTCTTCCACATATGTTCTTGCTAAGGCTACTGGTCCAAGGAGCTCTTATTCTTTGGAGGTCACTTGGACCACAAGGTCCATCATTCTGTTCCTGTAGCCAAATTCATTGTCATACCGGGAAATGAGCTTGAAAAAGTGGTCATTGAGGGCAGTGCCAGGCCCAACATTCACAGTGGAAGAGCAGGTGTCAGTGTTAGTTGCAGTGGACAATGTGATCCTCAGTGTAGCCTAAAATGGCCTTTAGGGGGCCCTCTGATATTTGCTTTACTTCCTTCTAGATGTCTTATTTGGCAGGTTTCTCCAGACATCAGGTCAGATCTACAACCAATATGCTGGGAGCTGGCACATGGAAGGGTATGCTAATGAGCTTCCCATTCAGCTCAGGGATGACCTTGTCTACAATCTTGGCAGGACCATGCCTATCATGCCAGCTTCCCAGAGGGGCCATCCATGATCTGAGTGGCAGTGATGGCATGAACTGTGGTCATGAATCTGTGATGCTAACATTGTTATAGATGACCTTGACCAGGGATGCTGAGCAGATGGTAGTGCATGAGGCATTGCTGAAAATATTGAGGAAGCTGTCATACATCTTGAAGTTTATGCTCATCACAGGGACATCAGAAGGGGCACAGAGATGCTGACCCTTTTGGCTCACTCTTCAATTGAACTTCGGCCTTCTACAAGGTAAAGACTGTGAAAATTCCACTACATATTTACCACCAGCATCAACCTATTTAATGTTAGCATGTTATCTCTTCTGGAAGGTGGATATGGGTTTCCCATTGATAACATACTTCTTATTCTTAGCCTTGAGAGTGAATGGAATCATAGAACATGTAAACCATGTAGTTGAGGTCAATGAGGGGGTCACTGATGGCAATAACTGCTGCAGACTGGCTGAGCAAAATAACCGGGGGAGGGGGGGTGTGACAAGCAACTTGTGAAGGTTGAAACAGCAGGTGCCGCTTTATTACGGGACAGCAGAGGTATATATACCTAACTAATTACACACAGCTTAACTTAATTAACATCATCTAGATACAGCAGTCAGTCATTAAGGAATCCTTATCATCTTAATGGCTCGCTGGCATTACTTCACAAACCACTCCTCCTGGCAAACTGCCAGGCGCCATCTTGACTTGGTTGTGGCCCTCAATAAATAACATTCACTTTGTTAGAGTTAAAATTAGCTCAAGTAACCAGCACTCAATATGGTCATATCCAGTTACTATGACCTTCACCATTATATCAAGGTGGTGGCTGGCACTATACAAGATGCAGTTGTCTTGTTGAATGGGGAGAAGCAGAGAACTGACAGTTCTTTTTCATGATTCATCTTTCCCAAGTCTTTCCAAAGAATCAGTTTAGATGGGGATTCTTTCTATGACTTTCACAGTTGATCAACTATCATAGTTTTTGAATTAACTTGCATAATTTACAATATTAAACACAATTGGCATAAATAGACAGCTGACTTTTGGTGAATTCATGTGGGGTAAAGGTAGAAGCAAACGGGCAAAGAAGGGGCAGAGGGGGTGTATGGATGCAGCAGCAGCCATCAGTTACAGAGGCAATAGGTATCCTAGTACATCAAATTGGCCAAGTGGGTATCAGTTGACACTTTAATTTTAGAACCACCATGCTTAATATAAATGCAAGTGTGTATGTATAAACACATGTGTACTTGTGCAATATTCTTCAACTTGTATTTTACCGAGGATTGTCATTGCTATTTATAAATTGAGTGGATTTTACATTTTATCAAATGCCTTTTTGGTATTAAAGATTTTAAGTCTTTTCATTTGGCTAATATAGTTTTCTCATTTGATTTATTAATGTGATGTAGTATATTGCATTAGAAAGAACTGAAATATCCTAACATTCAGAACTGAACTGTCCTTGAATTCCTGGAATAACTCTGACAGGGTCATGTTGTTTCGATGGTTTCTTTCTACTAAAATTTTACTTGGGCATTTACATTTGTGAGATTAGTATAAGGCTTTCTCTTTTAAATATTAACTTTGATTCTTAAACTGGTGTTTTTTTCTCATTGATTTTTTTTTTTTAAATTCAGTTAGACCTCTTGCTGTACTTACTCCATTAGGTTTTAGGGTCCTTATATCAATATAGCATAAGTGCATATATTTAAAAGAAAGGCTACTTCTACTTAACATCATGATTCTATTATTTTTAAAAAATTGTTTCTGAAGTGTTTTGAGTCAAATGCTTTGATATCTTAAATACAGCCATGAGGAAAATCACTTATTACTTTTTCAGGGGTTTCCAATTAAAGCGAAGGGATCTTTTTCACATACATCACAAAGGTAAGAAAAAAGAAATGGAAGAGGTCAAGTGTAATTTTATGTACACACTCCCTCTCCTTCAATTCCTTTTAGAAAGAACTCTGACAATGAATACATAGATAGATCAACTAAAAGTCACCCCCTTAATATAAGTTGTAATGGTCTTCAAAATAACCACTTTTTGAGTTATAAGATTAAAAATAATAAGCTATGTATATCAAGTAGAAAAGCATTAGTTTTTAAATGAATAAGAAACATTAATATTAGACTCTCTCAAAATATTGAAACATTTGTTTTGGTAAGAGGAACTGAACTTACTGAACTTAACTACTGAGTCACATTCCCAGACCTTTTATTTTTTATTTTGAAGGTGGGTTCATACTAAGTTGCTTAAGGTCTCAGCAAGTTGCTGAGGCTGGCTTTCAACTTACAATCCTCCTCCTCAGCCTCTCAAACTGCTGGGATTATAGGCCTTTGTCTCTATTATTTTTCACTTACACAAAGGATAAACAAACTAGCCTGTTTTTCTTTTAAAATATACTAAATCCATTAAACTGTTGGCCTGTTTTTTTTTTTTTAAATGCGTCACTAGGTTTTGTTAGTTGTTTTAATGGCTTCAGTGTAAAATAATTATTAAGACCATTGGTTTCTAGCTTCAAATCAAAACAGCAAATCATGCAAAATTTTCTTTTTATTGTGGATGATAACCTACAAAACGGAAGAAAGTAGTGCTGACAGAGACTGGTCCATTCTTTTCAGCTTTCACACTTAGCTTTTTTGCAAGCTGGAAGAGAATCATCACCCTCTTCTGATGGCCGAGGTTTCTTCACTGTAGAAATAATTCCAAAAGCAGTTTTTCTAGTTTCTATAAAACAGAAATTAGTGTGTGAAGGAAAGACACAATTTAAAGAGAAGTGGTTTAACAAGTATGACTTTGACTTTGGCTGATGGCATTAGCAAATGATAAAACCATAGTGAACTGCTATGGCTGCTGATGCCATTTATGGTCATTATCTTTTTCCTAAATATATACAAATCATATATTACTAACATCTAATTTATTCCTAAGGATTACCTCATGGGTAAAAACCTCAGAATAGGATTTTATCTTTTTATAACTTTGTTTTATTTGCTTATTTACTTATTATTGTTATTTTTAATGTAGTTCTGAGGAGCAAACCCAGTGCCTCATACATTCTAGGCAAGCACTCTACCATTGAGCCACAACCCCAGCCCAAGATTTTATCTTTAATGGTCATGGTCTGTCTGTAGCATATTATGCAGCCAGAACCCAAATCGAGTATTTGGTAGAAGCTGAACAAATCACAAGAGTGAATATAGCAGTAAGTCAACTGTATTGCTCCTATAGTGGGGGGTGGGCTCACCTCATTTAATAGCATGTAACATCTCTCTTTAACACACTCAGGATTAATGTATCTCTGAACAATCAATTATATTGTACCGCCTATACCCTCATTATATAACAAGTGTCCAATAAATGCTTGTTGAATAAATGAACAAAACCAAACACACTCTATTTACTTATTTATTTTTTGGTACCAGGGATTGAACACAGGGGTGCTTTACCAAGGAGCCACATCCCCAGCCCTTTTTTATATTTTATTTAGAGACAGGGTCTCACTGAGTTGCTTAGGGGCTTGCTAAGTTGCTGAGGATGACTTTGAACTTGTGATCCTCTTGCCTCAGCCTCCTGAGCCACTGGGATTACAGGTGTGCACCACCGTGCCCAGTCAAACATTCAGTTATTGATCCTTTATGTGTTAGTGACAATGGGCAAAGAACAACAGGGATTATTTTAGATGCTCAGATCAAGTTAGCAGCAGAGGTCTACTTAAATTTAGCCAACTTCTGCTAAAACCTACTAATGGGTCAGGTACTATCACTATGTCATACACACAGGGCATAAAGATTTGTAATAGACTATGCTTTTCCTACAATACACTGGAATAAACACATTAAGAGCAAATACAATAGGTATGGGGAAAACCATTAAGAATCATGTGGATAAACCAATAAACTATCTTCTCTAAAAAAGTGACACTATTTGGAATAAAGAAAAAGGTGGTGACAAGGTGAGGAAAGAAAGCAAGGAGACAGAGGTAAGAATAACCTGGGCAAGAATGTGTAGAGGAAATGAAGCTGGAAGGGTAGCTTAGGAAAGGTCAGAATGTCACGAAGAGACTCAAACTTTGTCCTTAAGAAATGGAGAGGGATTATGAAGAAGGAAGAAGATACCTTTTAGATACAAAGGAGATAAAATGGAAAAATAAATGATGAACAGGAATTCAGTTAAGCATTATTTCTTATTTTAAGTAATAAAAGTAAAGTCGGCTCAGAAGAGCTAAGCATTACCTTTCCATTTGTGAGGACTAACTACCAGTTGTTTTAAAAACATTTTAATTTATAAAAGAGACAAAATTGATTTCAAGGACATTAAAATGCCAACACAATGAGAAAACCTCAAAAACTGTCAATGATTTCTATTTCACCAAATGAAAAATGTTGCATTTATATTTATATCATTATGATTGATAATAGTCTAAAAACAGTTGAATAAATAAAAATACATGAATTGTGAAAACAAGCACTTTATAACATTGTTAATTTCACTAAGAATTATTTTAGTTCCATCTCAGAAATGTTTTATTTTTACTACATGAATATTTTCTCCTTAATTAAGCTGACATAAATAACTGAACAATAAGTTCAGTTTATAGCTATCAATTAAAGTAGCTCTTTTAGTGTCTTTTAAAAATATATATATTTTTATAACAACAAGAAGTTTTATTTGTGTGGAGCTTTTGTTTTAATTTGCTTTTACACAAAGCATTTTCTTTAATCATCTTGCCAAGGAAAATCTACAACTAGCTCTAAAACAATCATTGATGAGTGTGCTATTTTGTTCAAGAGAGTTAAAGCTTTGTTCCTACCAGGTCCATTTCAGTCCAATGGCTGAGGACACTTCATACATTGAAGACTGTGCCCTTGAAACTTTTTACTCATAACCTCCTCAGAATTTCTACTCAGTGTTTTCTGGAAACCTAGAATCTGTCTAGTTCTGATTGCCAGGGGCAAGCCTTTCAATGTTGAAAACCACAACATATTCAAAGTATTGTTTGCCAAGTAAGCATTCCTGCACTGCTTTCAATGACTCCCTCATCATGAGGTTTCTAGACCCTTTAAGCACTTATCAGCCATCTTCTGGAAGTGCTCCAGTGAAGTGCCATCCTTTTTAAATGTGGCACTCAAAATGATACAGATGCCACCTGAGATTTCATCAATGAAAGTATAATGACACTTTGAATCCTTTTCCTCCGAATCATTTCTCTCTTCTAATGTAACCCACGCTGAATTAGTAATCTTTTTTTTTTTTTTTTGAGATCAAAGGCCATCAACTTTATTTTACTCAAGTCACTTTCTCTACAAACACATTGCTACTAAAAGAGCAAAACAGAAGAGATTTTTTCAGACTATAAAATAAGATTCTACTTTTTCCTTAATGCAGGAAGACACACTACAAATGGAGAGTCAAACGATAGTCCTTTATCTCTAAAATTTATGAATGGAATGCATTTTTTCCAACTAGTTTTTGTGTGTCTTTCAGTATTAATTGGATTTTCTCAATGGCCGTAAGCAACAGAACTAAATTCTCAAGGGCTCTCATTAGTGAAGGCTGATATTAAAGCATGGGTAACCATTAGCTCAAAGGTGAACCATAGACATTTACCAGTATTCATATTGTGTCTGTTTTTTCATAAAGGTCCACTACTCTTTTTGTTTTCTTACAGTGATGATGTTTTCTTATATGATTTATAAGCACTATTAATGAGAGAAAATTTTCATGAGAAATATTTCAATGACTCTGTCAAATATACAGATCATTGCATTCCCCTATAATTTCCATCAATTATCTATCCAGCTATGTACATACCACCCAAACATACAATCCACTGAAATAGTTAGAAGAGCTGAAAGAAACAAATTGTGTTAAGTTATTCATTAATCAGAATCCAGATTACTCTTCATTTAAATACTGTGAATTATAATCTTAAGATACCTCATACTACCATCTCATTCTGATGTCAACTAAAACCAGGGTAACTTTAATTTATTATCTAATTATAATTTATTATATTTTATGATAATCAGAATTTTACAGAAATAGCAGTTATGAACTATGCCTGTCCTAAACACATTGGTAATGCCACCTGAAGCTAAAGAGTCTTTTAGTTTAGATTCTAGAAAAGCCTCACTTTAAATATCATATGTTAAGTAGTTAAGCCTTTTAAGTCAGATGCAGAAATGTAATTTCACATTTTCTACTTTTCCTTTCGGTTCCCTTTCTTGTTTAGTCTATTTTTGAACACAAGTTATCCAAAATCGTTTTTCTTCTTTTTGCCCCCAGTACTAGAGGTTGAATCCAGGGCCTTGCACATGCGAGGCAAGCATTCTATTATTGTACTACCACTCCCAGCCCATTATGCACTCATTTAAAAATATACAGAAATAAAGGAAGTACTACCAAAATGTGAACCAACTCTTCCCTAATTTCAAGAATGTCTTGATAAAGATCCCAATTAATTTGATCATTCCCAGAGCTCACATGATCAGGTAAAGATTATATAATACAAAAATCTCCAAATAAAAATGTTAAAAGGAAAATCATGTAATTTATGGTAAGCCAATAAAGTAAGCAGTTTTCTCAAGTGGAAATCATATCATTAAAGTACACACACAAACAAACAAATAAAACAAGCCCTCAATAACCTAGCTATTCCTATCACAAATAACTTAGTCTATGTAATAACCCATTCTAAACTTTAAGATTCATTTGGATGCTACCACTTAAACTGCTTCTTAACCCCAGCAACTACTATTAAAAATTACAGAGAATGAAGCAAAACCACAGGTCAAAAATTTAAATTATGTAATAAAACTTATTCTCATTTTCCACAATTTTGTTATACTTCTATTTAAATTTTTATCATGCGTTGAACAAGAAATTTAGTGGGTTATAGTAGTGGAATTAAGGCTAAGAAAGAAATATATATAAATACTTTAAAAAATGTGACTTAAAAATAAAATCTGTACATATACAACAAAAATATAAAAAGAAACATTCTGAGTTGTTATAAATGTAAAAGTTACAGTCCAAGTTTTGTTAGGTGGGTTTTTGAAAATGTATTCACTGTTTCTGTTTTTCTAATAAACAGCTTACCATATATTTCTAACATACCAATTCTCTAAAATAGCAATTTTCATCAAGGAAAGCATATTCCTCTGGAGAGGTGGGATGAGGAAAGATTAGAAGTTATCACGTGGGCTACAGCACACATATGTAGCTTGAAACAGCATTCAATATTTATTTCTGTAATGTGAAGTATATTCATTCTGCAAACTACAGAAATGACAGCCTGAAATGATGGATATGGGTAAAACAGGTGAGAAAAGATGACCTCAAAGGAACTCTGGAGATAGGATAATAAAAGTAGATAATGGCTCAACTGTCTGATAAAAATGAGTTGCCTCTAACAGGACCATTCAGTTTTTATTGAAAGAACTTGCTCACCTCCATGGAGAAGTGCTGCTCGGCAATTGGTGGACACTGCAGCCTTAGCATCACTTTCAGATAGTCCAAACAGCAACCCTCTGGTAGCACCATTAAGGATCTCAACTCATAGTCAGCTAAGGACACGAAACTAACACAAACATGACACTAAATGCCAGCTCATCTTGTCACATTGAGAGAGACTAATGAATTCTACAGTAGTTCTTACCCCAACTGGAACATGCATCTGAGAAGAGACTTATTTAACTCTTTTCTCATTTTCTATCTGATGATTAATCCAAATATGAAAACAAAATAGAAGGATGAAGCTCTCTATAACAAGAGAAAATTTCTGAAGACATTAATTGGTAAGCTTACAGTAAGAGGTTGAGAAAAAAATCGTATTACACTCTAGTACCACTTCAAATTCTAAATTTCTTAAAAGAACATTTCATTAGAAAGTAATTAATATTAATATTAGACTAATGTAAAAAAAAAAAAACTGAAGAGTCCAATAACCCAAATAACAAATAATCACATTTTAATATTTACAGCTAAAATACCAACTTATTTTCACGATAAGGTAAAATAATTAAAGTTAAAAACGGGAAATCTCATGTCAAACTAAAGGATACAAGTTTGCCACATCATATGGTCCTCTTATTTCCAAAGGCTAAAATAAAATGAACGAAAAATTGATATGAGAAGTTATTTAATACCATTTCAATGGCTTTATTTGCAGTGAATTAATAGGATGCCTAAGTATCCAAAAACAAATCAGTTACATACATTTAGATCCTCATAGTTTTGATGGGTTTCTTAGGTTTATGAAAATATAAACAAACCTTTAAAAGCATTTGTAACAGTATAAAGGAAAACTATATAAACAAAACTTGAAGCCCAGAATGAATGGGGATAAATTTTACCTTTCAGCAATTATTATGAGCAAATGCACAGTTAAAAGAGAAAACATGAAACTCATTATATTACTATTTTAATTTCTCCCATAGAAATCCAACAAAGTTTTCTAACTGGAAGAGCAAAAACAAAGTACTTCATGCTAGACTTACCCTTTCTGCAGCACTGGATATAATTATATTCTACAAAACAGAAAGTACTATTAATCTTAGATAAAATAAAAAAAAAAATCACCGAAATGTCTTATAAACAACCAGTAACCACATTTTAACATTTAAGGCTCAAAAACCAACTTCTTCTAATGATAAGTTAAACAATTAAAGTGAAAAATGAAAGACCTCATGTCAAACTAAAGGCAGCCTATAAAAAGATACAGAACAGGCTTTCTAAACAAATCTTAGTAGACATGAATTAAGTTTAAAAAACTAGTTGAAAAGGTCATATACCCTTAATTCAACTCACTGATAACAAAACAACTGTTATCTAGACTACTCTTTTCATAGTGGTAAATTGCAAATTCCTTATCAAAAGATAAAGGCTTTCAACACATCTTTCCCCTCCCTTTTGCTATTGTTCTGTTGATATTTTTCTTTCCCTTAAAACTTGCAGAGCTCATTGAACTTGAAGAATTTATGCCTGTGCCTTGAGAATTTCCTGCTTTAGGAAAAGGGAATCAGTTTGACAATTTCAGGGTATTAATAATAAACTGTCAGATTCACATCTAAAACATTCTAAATGTTCTAAATTCTAAAATTTATGGAACCATACCTTTCCTTTGCAGATCTGCATCAAATTGAGGGCATTGGAAATTGTGTACCTTCTCATTGTGGAGTCTTTGATGGCAGGACTATAGACAAGTTCAAAGCCCAGGCCTCGGTCAATTGCCTTCACAGGAAATAAAGAAAAGAAACTGTCTAGGATGAACACACACTGTCTTATTTAATTTTTCACTTAAGTCTCCACTCCATCGCTACACATCAAGGTATAGCCTTAAACAAAGGCAGATATGCACCCAAATGGCAACACCAACAAGAAGAAAACAGCTCTGCATTGAATTTGATCCACAGCGTTTACCTTAGCTGTGGGGAAGCTGACTTTATATATAAACAGGAATTATGAAGAGGCTAAGGAAAGCAAAGTCCCAGTAGGATGGCAGAAGAGCCACTCCATGAACTATGGAAAGGAAAAAAAAGATGTGTTTCCCTAAATATAGGGTAAATTAAGTGCAAACATAGTAAAAAACAAAACAAAACAAACAAAAAACAAGCACTTTGGCTTAAGAATGAAGAAAGGAATAAAGAGACAAACGAAGATTTCAGGAACACCTACAGAATGGTAAAGCCTTTCTGGTAAGTCATTTATTATAAACTAAGTGGAATGAGAGAATAATAGTCACGGTTCACTGAGGGATGACTATGTGCCAAGCACTGTACTAAAGGAATGCTATGTATATATTTAACGCTTATAACACCTTTATAGAACACTATGGCAGAGATGCTCATTTCTCAGATTGCTGGCTTATCCCAGAAAAAAGAAAAAAAAAAAAAAGATGGAAGAAGCTGGGACCTTGAGGATTTTACCCAGCTCTCCATACAAGCATGGCTTTTTTCATAGGAAAAAAAAAAGTTCTCTCATTTAGTGTATTTTTAATACATAGGGACTTATAGGTAAGAAAGCCTGGAAGGGATGGAAATGGGATTGAAATGAATTTCAATGCTATTGAGCTTCCCAGGTGAGTGACTCATCCATTCACAACAGATGTTTTAAGCCCACTATGTATAAAAGCTCCCTTCTAGGAGCTTATAGTTTAGAGGCGGAGACCATCAAATATACAAAGATCTAAAACTTCAGCTGTAATACATATTATTAAGGAAGAGTCTGAAAGTGGGTATGGAGAAATTAAGTAAATCATAGCAGAAGGAACATTTTTGAGAGAAGAAAAGTAGGGTTGGAGCACAGTGACATGTAGGGGATTGGGGATATAGCTCAGTGGTAAAGCAGTTGCCTGTGTTCAACCATTAGACCTGTCAAACAAAAACAAACACAAACAAAAAACAAAATGGAAGGCCTGAGGGTGGAGAAGAAAGGAGGAGGGGAAAGAAACCTTGTGGTGAGAGTTGAGGCTAAAGAGGATGGGAAGGGCCAACTTGTATAGGCCTTAATAATATATGGTGACAAAGATTAATCCTAACAGCAAGGGGAAATGTCTAAAGGATTTTTAGACTCTCAGTTACAAAAGTCACACAGGCTGTGGTGTTGTTTGGAATGAATAAGGAAGGGTGGTAGGCATGGTCTGGGCAGGACAGTCCAAGTCTGTGGCTGGTAAATGAGCTTATATTACCCAGAGGATGAGTTGGAACTCGTCCAGGTGAGGCTGCTGAAGTCTACCCTTGAGTGTTTACAGGGAATGAAGAAACTTGTCTTCAGAACTGGCAGTCCACCTTGATTTACCTCTGGTGCACACTGAGGGTCCCTTCTACATTTCCTTCCTGAACAAAGATTACCTTCTTTCCAACCCCAAATCTTCCCTTTTCCCTGGGCCTATGGCTCTCAAATTTTATATTTTCCTACATATCTGGTATTACTTTAGTTGGAATTTAAATACTATTTTCTAAACTGCGACTTTTCTCTCTCCCTTTATTTTTGAAAAATTTCCCCCACCTCTAAATCTTTGGCTTGTGTTGATTATTTCTAGGAATGACATTTGTTATGACACTCTTGGTACCATAATTAAATCTATACCTCCTTATCCCTGCCTAATTTATAAACTCAGAGCTGGTGTCACAACACCTCTTTGTAACACCCAATTGCCTTTTATCCAAATAGCAATATATTTATATTTTGAGTGAATAAATAGTAGTTTATGGAAAAGAGGTCATGACAATGACCAGGAACAAGGGTGAACTTGGCTACCTAAAATTCACAGATAAATTAAAAACATCTCTTTTAGTCATATTATCATCTCCTTTGCTATTTCTTTTACCAAAACTACTAGTTAGTCTAAGGAATCTACTTCCTTTCCTCATTCCTCTAGTTTAGGGACTAAAACACAAAGCAGTAGAATAAAGAGGATAAGTGAAAGATTTAGAGCTGGATGATCAGATCCCCAAATATTCCTAATTGACTGAACCTAAATTTCTAAACCCTTGCGGGGATCAGAGCAAATTAAAAACTCATTGTGAGGTAGAGGAGACAAAAATAAAGATAAAATTATCAGCTTAATTCTTTAAAAAAAGTTATGATATTAATCTTGGTACATTAATCAAGTTCACTTTAAAACTGGCAAGAATACTCTTGAGAAAGAAAAATAAAAGATAATGTGCCATTGAAGGTTGTGCACATTTCTCTCATAACACCTTATTTAAAATCTTTAGATGAATAAAATTTAGACTCATTACCTGCACTACTGTTTCTAAGACCATTTTAATGTAAATCACTGTATACTCATCAAATGATTGTTCATAATAGCCTCTTCATAAAGAATGACAGTGCTTGCTTGATTGGCTTTTGTTCCCATATCTGACCAAAGGTTCTGCAATAGGCGATGCTTAGATTTCTTTACTAATAATAGTCATAAAGATGCTACCAAAGGCAGGTGTGTAATACTTGAATTAAGAGAAAATGGCCATAATATTCAAGTATAAAAACTTAAGCAAAGCTGTAGACAAAGAAGAGAAGAAAACAGGGAGTTGATTACTAGGACAATATTCTGTCAATTTCCTAAAAAAATAGTTTTTTAATTGAATTCAAATGGATGACAATACATATTTGTTCACAAGAGCCGCATATTAAATAAAAATAAGAAAACAATAGTCTTATGTGCATCTCTGCTCTTATCTGCCCCATCTTCACCTCCCGTGACCACTTTTATTAACTTCTTGTCTTCTTCCAGTTTCATCACACAAACATAAGCAATTATGAACATGTATTATTTTTCTTTTTCTTACCTTAAAGGTAGCTTTGTCCTGAAAGCTTTACCATGTCAGGCCACAACCTCTTTATTCTCTTTATAGCAGCAGAGTATTACATTGTAAAGATATAGCATATATAATGTTTAACCAACCCTCTACTGATAGATTTGGGTTGTATCAACTACTTGTAGAATAAACACTAATGTGGGTTTGCTGGATATTATAAATTGTATCCCCAACCATAACAAATATATCTTATTTGAAAATAGGGTCATTGCAAATATAATTAAGATGAGGTCATACTGTAAGAAGGAAGGAAGGCTCCTAATCCTACAGGATTGGTATCCTTACAAGAAGATGAACATGTGGGGAAGGGCAAGGATAATAAGAGGGGAAGAATAAGGAGGGTGGTTATAATCAAACTATGTTATGTGCATGTATGGAAACATCACATAAAAAAGATTAATTTGTACAATCAATATGTGCTAATGATTAAATAAACATTATATATATATATATATATATATATAGTGATGACCATGTGAAGACACACAGGGAGAACATACTGTAAATAAATACAAAGGCAGAGACTGGGGTTAATGCAGCAAACAGCCAAGGATAGTCAAAGATTGTTAGCAAAATCACCAAAAGATAGGAAGAGGTAAGCAAGGCTTACCTACAGGTTTGAAGGGGAACACTATCCTACTGATACCTTGATTTTAGACTTCTATTCTCCAGAACTGTGAAACAATAAATTGCTATTGTTTTAGACTTTTTTTTTTTTTTTTTTTTTTTTTTTTGGTGGCACCAGGGATCAAACCAGGGGCTTGAGAAGGCAAGTACTTGCTAGGCAAGTACTCTTATCATTAAGCCATATTCAGCTCTTAAATTTCTGCTGCTTTAAACCACTTAAGTTTGTGGTACTCAGTTATAGAAGATCTAGGAAACTAATATACTAGGTTAGAGGGTAGTTTATTTGTGATTTTAATAGTTGCCAAATTACCCACTCCCCTCAGGAACTGTTCTGATTTACACTATTACAAACAAAGTATGAGAATGCCTATTTTCCCAAAGCATTACGACAGTGTATAGGCAGATTTTAATATGAATTTTAATATGAATTTGTCTTATAGTGAATTTAAATATCTTTTCTTCCTTTTTCTCTTTCTTTTTGTTTTGGTGGTACTGGGAATCAAACCCAGAGACCCTAAATGCCAAGCAAGCATTCTATCACTGAATTACATCCACAAACCTTAGGCTACTTTTCTTGTGTTTAAAGGACAATTTGTATTTCCTCTCCTATGAAATGTCTTTTAACATTTTTAATCCATTTTTTGTATTGTTTATTCTTTTTCTTTTTTAAAAAAATTTCTAAAGTAATTAAAGATAACTTGAAGTCACCGTTAATGGCAATAACATTAAAAAACAAAAAGACAGAGCAAAGGTAAAGGTACGTGGTGCTTAAAAAAAAAATCCTTCTCAAAACACAAATGAATAAAGATCATTTTTTATTTTTTCTCTCTCTCTCTTCAATTCCATGTTTCCCCATTCATACTGCAGACCAGGCACAGGGCCTGGGCTGGGTGTACATGCGGTATGCTTACTCCACCTCCTCTTTCTATATTGTCAGTGTAAGAACACAGCCTGTGGTAAGTACCAGGAGGCCTAAAGATCATGTTTTAAAATATGAAATTATTCTGTGTTTAACAAAGAGTTCAGATGTAAAATAACTTTACATAGCATTTCAGAATGACAGATTTGGAATCAAAACAATAAAAATCCCTAGCCAACTCTTTGAGAGAAACATTTAACCATGAGTCACAAACTACCTGAGGCTCAATTTCATTACCTGCATATGGAGATAATGAACATCCACCCCACTTCAAAGCTACTGGGCCACAACAGGTGTGAAAATGCTTTTGCTATAAAATGCTGAGGAAGTCACTTGATAATCCACAAAAAGCAGTCGAATCCAATTTTTTGGAAATATATCTATCACATAGTAGAGCTGAGATAGCCATATAAATTAACTAAAAATTCCAGAAGAGGTTTGTAGAAGATTTTGTAGAAATCTGCACAACTGATATTATGGTGCCCTAAGCACATGGTGAAGATGACAAAAAGACCTAGTGCTGTTGAGTCAAGTGCACAAATGGAGCATTTTGGTATAAACGCTGGGTGCTCCAGCTCCTAGTCCCTAATCTCAATTTTCTGAGCTGATAATTCTCACATGGCTTTTGGCCTAAAGGTAAGTCTAATGAATTACCTATCTTAATACTCCCGCTTTTCACTATCACTAAAGAAAAGGACACCAATTTAGATCTGTGTTGTTTTCTTATGTGCTGAATAAAGTGATCCTTATAAAGCTAACCTATCAACTTCTCATGGCCAAAGACAAATTTATCCTCAAAGCCATGCGAACATGGAAGGACCAAGAATTAACACTGAACTATTACCCATATGCACTAAATGATGGTTTCACAATGAGTATATCTCCAATAGTTCCGTACCAACATTAGACAAGATATTGCAAATGATAAACACACACCTATGCAACAACTATTATTTGCCCTGGACAATCAACTGGATACCTGTGTGTTTACTTTTCTCTTTTAAGTGAATAAAGAATAGGGACTTTTCTGCTACTTGACCAACTCATACCACAGTCTACTTCTATACTAGATGAAAACTAAAAATAATCTTATGCAAGCCTTTCTTTCCACTCCATAATCTAGTTTTTATTAAACAACATATGTAATATGTTCACAAGACTTTTTTTAAAGCAGACACTGTGTTAAATATTGCACATCGCTCCCGTCAAATTTTTTACTTGAAGAATTCTTAAGTTGAAAAATGTGGGAATTATGCCAAAAATACCCATCACACAATAGCAGCTTTCCTGCACCTCCAGATGGAATGGGGAAGGGCTGGGATGTCCTGGTGCTTTTGCATCAAGTGCCACATTCATGGTCGTGTTGCTTCTATGCCCCAATTCCTCAATGCATATACTTCCTGCTCAACACTGACAGCCACTTAGGCCAGATTCCCAAGCTGAACCCAGATACATCAAGTTAGAAATATTCCAATTCAAGGAGCAAATTTCAAGAAAGACTTTTAGGCAAGATATTGGGAGTAGTTAAAAAAAGGCCTATGCACAGCTGGTATGCTCTAGAAGCTTGCAATCTGGTTTAAATTGAAGGCGAGTTCATAAGAAATTCAATTACAAGTCCTCACCAAAATCAGCACTGGCAATCTTACCATTGTCATGGAACATGAGGAATTATGCGCTGTGCATTGCTGTCCTCTCCATGGACTTGGCCTCAGCATCACATGCCACTGTCTCCTCCCAACCAACACATGGTATCATGTGTGAACTTATTCAGGCAGAGCCACCTAGAAGATGGCCTTCCTAGTTCATTAAGGTGAAGAAAAAGGTGAAAAAGTTGTAGTTCAATAATAATTTGCAGAGTGGCTGCAATGCCTAACTCTGGAGATGCTATTTGTGTAGGAATGGGTTGGCAGACTGAAGCTGGTAAAAAGCTAAGGCAAACTTCTAAAGACAGATTGCTACTTCTGGAGAGAAAAAAATACATGAGGCCAACAAGACTTACTGTCCTAAACTTGGGTACTGTATTAATTTGTGGCTTTTATCATAACTACTTGGGGCACACATCAGAGGTCTTACTTTATAGACAACCAATGAAAACAGCCTTAACCCTGTGACTGAAAAGTTAAATGACCTCTTACTAGTTTTCATTATCCCATATTTTATAAGTGAGCTCAACAGTACACAGAGCTTCAAACTCCAAAATGTGATGTTTCAGGTGTAAGTGTTTCTTCATTTATTTAGAAGTATTAGTACAGGCATGGGGAGACCAATGATTCAGGTTCAGCCAATACTGAACTTGTTCAGAGGTCTTCATTAACCAAAAAAGAGCTGTATTTAGCAGCATATTTTCAGGGGTAGTAAATAAGTCAAGTTAAATTTTTCTATGTCAAACATATCCATTTTTTCCCATCCTTATCTCTTCTTAATACTCAGCATCAAATCAGTTCCTTAGGAGAAAATGGAAAAAAAAATCTAGCAAGTAAGCAGGATGTGATTGCACATGCTTATAAACCAAGTGATTTGGGAGGCTGAGACGAGCCTGGGTAATTTAGTGAGACCCTGTTTCAAAATCAATAAAATGGGCTGGGAATGTAGCTCAGGGGTGAAACACTCCTAGGTTCTTTCCCAAATTTATTTTGTTCTATCCCAACAAAATAAAAAACAAAAAAGTCAAAACCAAACCAAAACCAAAACAAAAAAACAACAATCCAGGAGTAATGATTCTAAAGAGACAAAAGAATAAGGAATTAACCACTTTGAAAAAAATTAATATCCCAATTCTGAAAAAATTTTGGTATGTAATTTGGATTAATTTGCCAAACTTTTTGCTTGGATAGTAGTTTTTGAGAACAAGATTGAGTTTTAGAAGCCATTGTTCTAAAATATTATTCCTAAGATCTTGCTCCCAAAGCAAATAGTTAACATATTTGTTGACCTCATAACTATCAAATAGTTACTAGTATGAAATAATGTCACCTTTAGAATGGAAATGGAAGGGGACTGAGACTTTAGAGAGCAGTGTGACAGATATCAGATGAAAGGTAAAGGAAAACAAGAAAAAATTCTGTAGATGGGTGAAAAAGAAAATTCTGTAGCAACAGGGAAGAATATTTTGGTGCCAATACCATGCTGTTTTTGTTCCTATTGCTCTGTAGTATAGTTTAAGGTCTGGTATTGTGATGTCTCCTGCTTAACTTTTCTTGCTAAGGATTGCTTTCGCTATTCTGGGTCTCTTATATTTCCAAATGAATTTCATGATTGCTTTTTCAAGTTCTACAAAGAATGACATTGGGCTTTTAATTGGAATCGCATTAAATCTATGTAACAGTTTTGATAGTATGGCCATTTTGACAATATGAACTCTGCCTATCTAAGAACATGCAAGATCTTTCCATCTTCTAAGGTCTTCTTCAATTTCCTTAGTTTTGTTTTTCAGTTCTGTAATTTTCGTTGTGGAGGTCTTTTACTTCTTCTGAGTTCCAAGTATTTTGAACATGTGGCCACACTGTTATTATAAAAGTAACCCTGGGCTCTTGTGTGAGCTAGTATGCTTCAATGCAGATTATAATTTTGCATAATTAATGCCCAGGTGATTCCATGCCTTGCTCCTTACTCCTTTTGAGTTTGCTAGTATCTCAAGGACTCTCTGTGTATTATCATTATTATTATTATTTACTTTTCCTATCTTTCTTGACTGTTCTGTCTCCTTAATATTCAATGTTCAGGATATAAGCACCCATTATTAGTAGTTACCCTCTTAAAAAACATTGTTCATAAATTTTAATTTCTAAGACTTTTCAAAAACATCTTGATACTTTTTATTTTAGCTTGCAAAAATAAAATCATCTTCTCTAAAACTGTTTTTTCTTACCTAGTTTTTATTTTTCCCTCTAAGAATGTTGATTTCTTCTATTCCTTTCCAATATGCTAATGTAAGTTTCTACAGACTCAAACATACAATGGAAAGGGTAACACTTACCACGTTAATAGGAGGTCTTTTGAAGTAAAATGGTAGTTTTTCTGTTACAGTTATGCAGACTAAATCCACATCCAAATGAGTGCAAGCAACCTATTAAGAAGAAAAAAACAAGTAAGGCAAAATGAAAAATGTGTACAAGAAAAAATAAGATATGGTCAGACCTGAATAAAAAGAAACATGGATAGGTATGGATCCCTCTATGCTTGTTATTGTTGTTTGTGTTGAAATACATCTCACCCCATTACAAAGCCGATTTTTAGCCATTCCCTCAGGTTTGGTTTGAATGGTTTAACTGTGACCCAGCTGAAGCTGAGAGACATGTCTATAGACGTTCCTCAAAAGACAAGGCCTGGGGACTGTCTAATTCAGATGGTCTTCTACAAAGGGATGGGTTATTGAAGCTCAATATCTAAGGAATTACTTCAGATTGTTCCAGAAAGAAGAAATTGTTTTGAAATCCAAATAAGCAGTAAGTCAAAAGGAATGTATACATGGTACATTTGTTCCACAAACTATTTATTGAGGAATTGTCCTTTTTATTAGGAATTGTCCCAAGCCTATCGCTCCAATCAGTCTATTTAGTGGCTAAAGAAACATAACATGGAACTACTGATAGCATTTTGTTCAAATAATAGAAACAGTTGATATAAATGGTAGAAGCAGAGCTGTTACAAATCAAATAACAATGAATGTATTTTTTAACTTTTAATTTCCCTTTCATTTGATCTAGTTTTTGCTATTATTGATTAATAGTCTGCATTTTCTTCAAAAATAAAAACGACATACTAAATTAAAAACTAAGCAGATAAAGAAATCAGGATAAGTGGAAAATCAGGGAAGGAAAGTAAAGCTGGGCAACAGAGCTGCTTGGATAGAATGCAAGCCAGAGCATACTGCTCAAAGATTCCTATCTGGCTTTGATTTTTGCCATTACTTGATTTATAGAGATAAAAAGAATTGTTGTCTTGCACTGTATTAAAAATAATCCTTGTTGACAGTGCCAATGTGTACAGGCTTGATGAACAAATTTAAACAGCCTGCGTAGTTATGTTAGCAAACCAATATCAGTGGCACACACCAGGAAAAATGGTGAAGTATGGAAGGGGGGTCAAGAGAGGGTAGTAATCCCCTACAGGATTGGTACCAACCTTCATCATTGACAGGGATAGCACATATTGTCCTTCGACAGAATTCCCACTGTGGTCACTCCTACCCCCACCCAAGGGCTTTAGGAAGCAAGTAATGATCAGAGGCTGCCTGGCTCTAAGACAGTCATGGTAACTTAGTAAGCCTGGGAAGCAATGCTGTTTTGGCAGAAACACTTGGCTCATAAATAATTTGCCCCATCCCTACTGCTCCAGCTGTCCAACTCATAAAAGAGTCATTGAAAATTTAGGAATAGATGAAGAAAAGCTCTGAATAATAACTAAAACAAGTTCAAGTTATAGTCATCATTTTCTAACTACCAGACTGTTAAAGATCAAAAAGTGCAATAATATAGTGCTGATATGAAAATGAATAAACAGGCACACACAGGGTTTTAAACCAGTAAAAGGTCTTGAAAAGCAATTTAGCAATAGCTATCAAAATTTTAAATGCATACACTAGCAATTTCACTTAGAGGAATGTACTCCATGGGACTCCTGAAACATTCTATCCTTAGTCTATACAAAGACTAAGGACAATAGTGCAAGGATAGTCATTGCAACATCAATCACAAAAGACTAGACACAATTAAACACCCCTCAGTTTTACTTAAATAATTATGATCCATTTATATGATAGAACATACCAACTTTTTATAGGGAAAAAAGTTCATCTCTAATTGATTTTATGGAACAATCTCCAAGATTACACTGTAAGGTGAAAAAAGCAAGGCATCAGATGGGAAGGAAAGGAGACAGAGAGGAGAATGAAGGGAAGGACTAGGTAAATAATATTTTGAAAAGATACATAAGAATCTCAGTAATAGACACTCTCCTCAAAATAAAGCTAGATTAGGTTACTTTTTCTTATGTATTGCTCCTTTCTTCCCCCTCTCCTATAGAAGTGGCTGATTAAACAATGAATTTGTATTTAAGTAATCCATTATAAGAACTTTTCATTTCAAAGGACAGCTCCATTTGGCTCCTTCTGACACGGAGAACTTAAAATGCCCGAAACTGAGTTCTTCTGTTATTTAGCTTTCTATTAACCCAAAGTTTAACTGGTACATTTAAAGAGCCATAAAGTTAAGTGTTAATATTCAGACTATAATGAAATGCTTTCTAAATCATTAAAAAGATGAAATTCAATAAAAATTTGGGATTAAGAATCTTCTAAGACATGCGACCAAACGGCAGAAGAGGCCCAGCAGCCCGCCGGCGTGGTAGACACATCACCCCAATTGGAGGAAGGGCCCAGCTACAGCCCGCAAGGTAGGCAGACCGCGCGTCCCAGAGAAGGGGCCCAGCGGACCGCCAGCCTAGTTGAAAGATCACCCCAATTGGAGGAGGGGCACAGCCGCTGCCCGCGCCTGCAAGGTAGGCAGACCTGCAACCTGGAGAACAGACCCAGCGGCCCGCCAGCGTGGTAGACAGATCACCCCTATTGGAGGAGGGGCCCAGCCGTTGCCTGCAAGGTAGACAGACCACGCGATCTGGAGAAGGGGCCCAGCGGCCCGCCGGCGTGATAGACAGATCACTCCAATTGGAGGAGGAGCACAGGCGCCACCCGCCCCTGCAAGGGAGACTTTGCAACTATACAAGAGCAATATAAATATATAGGGGGAAAATTCAATAACACAACAGTTTCACCAAGCAGAAAGAAACGTGAGCAGTATGAAAAGACAAGGAAAGAAAGGACCACAAGCAATGCAGGTTAACTCAACTTTAGAAGAGGTAATAGCTGCAGCAGATGGAATGTCAGATAAAGAATTCAGGATTTACATGCTTCAGATGATCTGGGGTCTCAAGGAAGACATTAGACAGCAAAATCAGACAATGAAAGATCACTTCAACAATGAATTACATAAACAAATCCCAGAAGCAAAGGATCAACTATACAGGGAGATAGAGATTATAAAAAACAAACAAACAGAAATCCTAGAAATGCAGGAAGCAATAAACCAACTTAAAAACTCAAATGAGAATACTACCAGCAGAGTAGAACACTTAGAAGATAGAACATCAGACAATGAAGACAAAGTATTTCAACTTGAAAAAACATAGACAGCTCAGCGAGACTCTTAAGAAACCATGAGCAGAACATCCAAGAAATATGGGATAACATAAAGAAACCAAACTTAAGAGTCATTGGGATACAGGAAAGTATAGAGGTCCAAACCAAAGGAATGAGCAATCTGTTCAACGAAATAATACGAGAAAACTTCCCAGACTTGAAGAATGAGACAGAATCCCAAATCCTAGAAGCCTACAGGACGCCGAACGTGCAAAATCATAAGAGATCCACATCCAGACACATTATAATGAAGATGCCCAACATACAGAAGAAGGAGAGAATTTTAAAAGCTTCAAGAGAAGGGAAGCAGATTACATTTAGGGGTAAACCAATCAGGATAACAGCTGATCTTTCAACACAGACTCTGAAAGCTAGAAGATCCTGGAACAACATATTTCAAACACTGAAAGAAAATGGGTTCCAACCAAGAATTGTGTATCCAGCGAAATTAAGCTTCAGGATGGAAGATGAAATTAAAACCTTCCACGGTAAACAAAAGCTAAAAGAATTTGCAGCTAGAAAACCATCTCTTCAAAACATCCTCGGTAAAACATTACAGGAAGAGGAAATGGAAAATAACAATGAAAACCAACAGTGGGAGGTAGTACAGTAAAGGGAAAAAATAATCAAAGAGGAAAAACAAACCATGTTAAGTAACATAAATAAACAAATATGGCTGGAAGAACAATCCATATCTCAATAATAACCCTAAATGTTAATGGCTTAAACTCACCAATTAAGAGACACAGGCTAGTAGAGTGGATCAAAAAAAAAGATCCAACAATATGCTGCCTACAGGAGATGCATTTGATAGGAAAAGACATACAAAGACTGAAGGTGAAAGGTTGGGAAAAATCATATCACTCATATGGACTTCAAAAACAAGCAGGAGTGTCCATACTCATATCAAATAAAATAGATTTCAAGCCAAAGTTAATCAAAAGGGATAAAGAGGGACACTACATACTGCTCAAGGGAACCATACACCAACAAGACATAACAATCATAAATATATATGCTCCAAACAATGGTGCAGCTATGTTCATCAAACAAACTCTTCTCAAGGTCCAGAATCTAAAAGACCACCCTACAATAATTATGGGAGACTTCAACACACCTCTCTCACCACTGGACAGATCTTCCAAACAAAAGTTGAATAAACAAACTATAGAACTCAATAATACAATTAATAACCTAGACTTAATTGACATATATAGAATATACCACCCAACATCAAGCAGTTACACTTTTTTCTCAGCAGCACATGGATCCTTCTCAAAAATAGATCATATATTATGTCACAGGGCAACTCTTAGACATTATAAAGGAGTAGAGATAATACCATGCATCTTATCTGATCATAATGGAATGAAACTGGAAATCAACGATAAAAGAAGGAAGGAAAAATCATGCATCACTTGGAGAATGAACAATAGGTTACTGAATGATCAATGGGTTATAGAAGACATCAAGGAGGAAATTAAAAAATTCTTAGAGATAAATGAAAACACAGACACAACATATCGGAATATATGGGACACAATGAAAGCACTTCTAAGAGGAAAATTCATTGCCTGGAGTTCATTCCTTAAAAAAAGGAAAAACCAACAAATAAATGATCTCACACTTCATCTCAAAATCCTAGAAAAAGAAGAGCAAAACAACAGCAAAAGAAGTAGAAGGCAAGAAATAATTAAAATCAGAGCTGAAATTAATGAAATCAAAACAAAAGAAACAATTGAAAAAATTGACAAAACTAAAAATTGGTTCTTTGAAAAAACAAATAAGATCGACAGACCCTTAGCCATGCTAACGAAGAGAGGAAGAGAGAGAACTCAAATTACTAGCATACGGGATGAAAAAGGCAATAT